ACGAGCATATTCGTAAGTTCAGAAACAACATCTAAATGTCTTCTATTTTAATCTAATCTTTTGATGAGAGTAATATATATTAATATGTATTCATATGTTTTTTATTTCGCATTTTTAATTACAGACATGAATAATAAAATAAAGATTTAAGAGATATTATGTAAATACATATAAATGTATTCACACACATATACGTATATCTATCTGATGATTTCACATGTCCGATAAAACTCGTATAAAAAATATCGAAAGATTTCCCATTTAAACTTTGCTTCTATCTAAAGAAAGTCTGCAACTGCTACGAAGTAGGTCGTCAATGTCTCAGTAAAGGCTTCAAGTATCGCTTTTCGGTTGGTCAATTTCTTTCTCATACTACTTGGATATTTTGTTTAAATCTCCGTTAAACATAAAGACATCAAATAATATAATATATTTTTTTGCGCATATTTATGCAAGTTTTTTATGTAACAAAAAACAAGAAACTATGATTAACGCATATTCTTATCGATGATTATCATTAATCAATGCAAGACTCTCTCCTGCATGGCTTTAAAAAGCGTAGACACATCATATTAATAATACACATATACCTATGCATATTAATATATAAGTTACTATATGAGGTGTTTGATGATGTTTATATCAAATATTAGAAGTGTATTTTTTTATAAAATTGAAGAAAATATTTGCTCAATAAAAACCTTTGATTAATCTTTCTTTATAACACTTAATTTAAACCTAAAGTTCAAAATTTACATATTGTCGCATTCTATTAAAAAATGTTATAAATTAATTTTTTTTAATTATTAAGATCTGTGTTAATAGATTTTAAATTTAAGTTTAAATTTGTTTGTTGCGCTTTCTTACATTTATTTGCTTCTAACATGAAAATTATTAATATAATTTACAATAGAAAGAAACCAAATATTCTACCAAATCTAATTCCCAATATTCAAAGAGAAAACACATGATAGCTAGAACATCCTATATATCACATTGAAAAAAAACGCGGGATAGTCTTCGGTGCCCGGCTGTCTGCTCCCATCCGACAAATCACAACTTGATTAATTGATTGGAACCAGTCGATTCGCCGGTTAAACGTCGCTCATTAGGCGAAAAACGTGATCCTAGATGACCTCCGAGCAAGATATTACAGAACGAGGCAGAATTTTTTTTTACGAGACTCTAAATATGCTAAGCAGCTGTAAAAACTTGGGAAACGCCCGACGGAAAAAAAAAATTTGTCTGACATTTCCATGCTTTTACTTGTATGATTGAGTATACCCAAGAGCGGTCATCTAATTAATTACGCCGCAATTAACTGTAAGTTCAATAATCTGACTGGCATTTCCATAAAATTCTCACAAAAGCCAATTCATGACAAAATTAATATTCTTGCGATTCCGTTTTATGACCTTACTCGTCAAGGCGAAAATTTTCGCACACCAGCTGAGGCATAAAACGATCGAATACGTAAGAGTCGAAGTTATTTGTGCGAAGACACAAGAGCCTAAACCTGTTCCGCGAACGACTAGAAGGAAGAAGCGACTGGAAATAAATCGTCCGGAATGAAAATATTTGAAATACAACATTGCCCACACCGAAGAATAATCGATTTGGGCCACAACGGGTTTTTCGTTCTCGATCTCCAATGAACAAACAACGAGATTAATCTCCTCCCTCGCAACGAGAGCGGAAAAATAGACATGCGACAGTTGTTGACAAAGCTATTTATCAAAAGAAGCGAATTTATCGAAAGTATTTTTTGGGGATTGGCATCGACCAGATGTTGTTCAAATGAAGCATTGTTGATAAACAGCAATAAAAATAAAATATGTCTTTTTTATACAGCGTACGAAAGAGGACGTATTTCGCAAAAAAAAAAAAGATATAAAATACATAACAATTAAGAAACTATCATTATATGATTCACGAATGCAAATAAATATATGTCCCTTTTTTCATAACAACGTCTTTAAAATTAATAACATTACTTTAAAAAACATAGAATAAGATATATTATATTGCAAAATATATTATATATTGTAGACAGACATATTAATTTTTTGTCTGTCTTATAATAAAATTGTTGAACTTTTAATATCTCATTTTTACACAATATATAATTTAAAGATATTCTTATAGAAATTAATTATATGCTTAACTTTGTTCTGACGATTTTCAACGGGAATATTACGACCACCTGTGCACTTTAATCTTTTCTTCTGTGTTCCTTCTTATCTCAACCATTCAGAGCTAGCTGTGCAAATCTGTCCGCTGCAGCTTTTCAGTTTCAGAATTAATATATTAATATTGTCCGTTTATATCTATCTCTTTTTTATATATTTCACACATTTCATAAATATTTCTTATTGGTTATGACTATATAAAAGAAAAATACAAATATTAAGTATTTTATATTTATATATGTTCCACAAAAGGATGCATCTTATCCTTAAAATCCATTTTATATAATCTATGGTTATAGTATAATATGAGATATATACAATTTCTATATACATATATAAGCACATATATATGTATATAATCCACTTATAATCTAATAAGATAATATAAAATACAAAATTTAAACAGCATTTAACAAGCATTTAAATTATAATGTAAATGCTTAGTTAAAGTTAAACTCTGACTCTAATACATATGGATAATAAATGAATCATTGCGAATTGTTAATTGCTTGTACAAATGTAAATTGGAGAAACTTTTACACGAGGAAACACCTTTCGGTTTTATTGAGTTTTTGCCCAATTGCCATAACAAATTCTTGAAGAAGAAAAGCAAACGCTTTAAAAGAAATGGGGAACAAAGAAAGTAAATTTTAGTGGCGACGTGGCTACTTTGTTCCCAATTTACTCCGTAAATCTACGAAGAGACAAAGAGAAGCGGAAGCGCGACGAAGGAGTATACATTCGTAGTAATCAGCGCTAGAAAAATGCCTCGACTTTTCTTCGTGGCGCGATTAATTCTAATAAGCTCGCCGACAAAATGATTCCTCGCCGGCCATCGGTTCTGCTAACGCGCTAATTGCCTTATTACAAAAATAAATTTTTCCGACTTTCCGACTTCTAGGTGTCTTCTAGAATCTAGATAATAAGATTAATAACAAAGCTTTTTACCGTTCATAGCGTGCTCCTCGAATTATAAATTTGACAGTTTTACTTGCAACAGAGAAGAGAGAGAAACCGAATTTTCGACCGCTTCGTAATAAAAGAGTTTAATTATTTAAAATTGAACAATAACATTGTCTTTGGTGCGAACAGTGTGAGAAAGATTGATTGGATAAAAACGAAAACCACGAATGACCTCTTGCGATTTTAACCATTTATTATATGGATTAATGTATCGTAGCGTATATATATGCTGCAATTTTCAAACGAAAGTTGATATGTACTCTCATATAATTCTATTATATGTTCTTAGAACTCTTTCGAGATGAGAAGTTCAGCTTCAACATGCTCTACATATTTACGATACATATATCAAAATACACAAAAAATTATAAATACATACACACACATATACACACAAGTTATAATTTAAAATTTTATCATGAATTATAAACAATCGATCGTTCATAAAATAAGCTTAATAAATCATCTAAATAATTATAAATAAAATAAAGCATACATTGTCATTCTGAAAAATCTTATTTTAGATTAGATTATCTTGTACTTTTGACAACACTAGTATCTTAATAGCCAAGTAAATTTTAATTAAACTATTTTTCGAGGTTTTATTGTAAAATAATTCCAAAAAAATATAAGAATGTAGAAATAAATATGTATAAATATATATTATTATACATTGTTTATGGAATATTTTGTCAATAACTATTTGTGATATAACTTATCTATCCCTATAACTGGGCTCTAAGAAATGTCGTTTTGGTTCATAATTTTACGAATTTTTTGACAAACCGTTTCAGATAAATCTCTCTTTAATTCAGACACAAACTAGCCAGCTAGACGAACGATAGACATTTACGGGCTAAAGTTCTGAAGAAATTGCTACTAACTTCTTTGGAACTTTGCAGGGATTTCGATCCATCGTTGCAAAAGCGGACGGTGAAGTAGTAGAAGATGTAAGCCGATGAGGAATGAGTTGAATCAGACGTTCGAAAACCGATAATCAAAGTTGTACGGCGATTCGCGCTGAGCTCAATTAATGGAAAGTCATTTTGCGACTTTTATTTATCAGTACGAATTTATTTAGTCAGATCTATCAACTGATCTTTCTTCATCGTTCAAGTTAATTGATATATAAGCTAACACAATAAAAAAAGAGAAATTAATAATTCAAATAAAATAAACAATATTTAAGCACTTTATAGATTTTCAATCAAGCCATTTTGTACTGTCTATAGAATATAATAAAAAATATATATTAATATCAAATAAACGAATTATATATGTATTATGTATTAAAAATAAAGAGTCACGGAAGTTAAAATTTTTTATTCTTTCAAAAGATCCAATTCAAGACCCGACAATAATATATTGGGCGCTAAAAGCGCTTTATGGATTTAAGAAATTCTTAAACAATCACACAATTAAATCCATCGACGTGACAACAGTTTTTCAGATCACCGAGTCCGCGAATATTCAACCTTGAGCATACATGTGCTAAATCAGAGTCACCCTGCTCCTGTATGAGCAACACTCCCCACTGCACTGCGACTGGTTCATTAACGATTACATGGACACCCATGGCACAGGTGGCACGATATATAAAGTCACGAGGAATCAGCACGGCCGGCTATTAGTTCGGCTCGTTCCACCGACCGGTTCGCAGACGGTTTCCGATTCTCTATATTTCTCCTGGGCAATCGTAAATCGGCCGATTTAATCGGCCGATATTGGTCCAACACGTGCCGGAGTGAACGACTTCGAGTTGCTTGTACGTTGCGTTTTGTTCAGTCCGCCCTTGCTCCAGCTTCCCGTCGTCGTTCAGATTTAAGGGAGACCGAGCCCTTGATTGCCGAGATCGTTACCGAGGTTCGCATTTCGACTGAAATCTTCCTATTACGCTTCCGGATTCGTAACCTCGTGCTTTCTTCGGAGCTGGTGAAACCCTTATCTGTCACGATGATATTTACCGAGAAGAACGTCGGATTTCTCCTAATAACTGTCACGTGTCTCCTAGTGATACACTGTGATACATCGTGTATAGGAAAGACTATACTGAGTGAGTATGATGTTTGGACATTCTCGTTTTAATATTGATAAATTAAAATGTTCCATGCCAATTGATGACGAATGAACAAATAGCAATTTTATTCCATTCATTTTTAACAAAAAAATGTCGAGAAATGGAGAAAAAAAAAGAAATCGTAAGAATTTCTCAAATTTCGTCATTCGATATTTTAGTAACTAATGTAAGTTTTAAATTACAATTTCTTTCATTATATAATATAAAGTTGGTCTTAAATAATAACCTGATGTCAAATATAATTTTTTTTTCATACATTTTTAAAATTTGATTTGCGAGAAACTTATTCTTTACTAAAGCTGCGAAAGAAATATGAAATCCTTCATTCTTCGACAAAGAAATAGACAAAAATTTAAATTTATCATTCAAGATTTAAGAGTAAATTTTTAATTTTCGAAATAAGATACTATAATTTAAGGATTACATAATTTATTTCTTATAATTTTTATACGCTTTTTCAAGAGAAATATAAAGTATCATTTTGAATCTATAAAACTATAAAATGCATAAAAGAACTTAAACAGTAACAAATTCTATATAAAGTAACATATATATGACTATAATATTTTTTGACGAACACTTTATAGTATTCGTTATGCTGACATAAGTGCAGCTGAACTTTCTATGATAACGTCAATGATTTCAATGGGAATAAAGAAAGAAGTAGCAGCTGTTAATTTTTAATTTTAAAAGAGATTTAGTTGGCAAAGAACGTCAATATTTATTATTTTTTTGTATAATTTATGATAATCTCATAATCAATAAAATTAGTGAGATATAATTCTCACCGAGAAAGTTCGATGCAGTTCTCGGGCTCTCTCGTCCATCAGTTTCCTCCAGACAACATTTATCAGATAAGAACGGGCGACGGAATATGAATCGCGTATTCTCGTGCAAATTAATTCTTCTCGCCGTGTCACGACACGACTTTACACCGCGAACCTCGAGAAAGATATGAGGTTCAATGATTTATAATTAATGAGAGAACGAAAGAGAAGATGATATCGAGAAAGAGAGAGAGAGGAAAAAGATTACGATCGAAGGTCCACATTTTTCGAGCTTTCTGCATGTTTCGTTAGCGCATCGCCTTGAACACGATCATCCAATATCGAAAAGTAAATTGCAAGAACATTTTTTTAATATTGTAATTTAATAAATTTTATGTTGCAAAATTTTCCGCTACATAATAGTTTTTTTACGCTGAATATAATTATCATATTCACGTAAAAATTAGTTTTCCCACGAAATCGTAAAATATCTGTCACTGAAATGTTATAACAAATTATCTTCAACAAATATTTTTAGCGTTAGTTAAATAATAAATAAATTTAAAAAATTAAAATATTTACTACCATATTAAATCACATAGGAAAAATTATCAAAGAAAATGTGCATTAGTATATTGTATATAGAAGCGTTATAAATATCTAAATCAGATTAAATAGTTCTGATTGCAATCTTTTAGCTTAATTGTTTATCTAATATTCCTATACAGAAAAGCAACATTTTTTCATGAAAAATTCGCTTGTAAAACTAAAGCAGTCCTATTTTCTAAATTTAAAAAAACATAAAGTTAAACATGTAAAAAAAATTCTCTTTTTCTCTCTCTCCAAATATTTTAAAAATATATTACTTCTATATATAACCATAACATTTTCTTTAATGTAACGGAACTAATATAATTCAAAATTAATATGTTATCGTAATAGCTAATATATGCCGTACATAGTTTACTTTTTTTTACCGAAAGAAACGCATAAAAAGTGGACGAACAGAATTAACAATTAAAGTTTAAGCCGATCGAGAGCTATTTATTTAGCACATCATTGCGAGTCCATTCCCACGAAATTCAGTTAACTGTGAGCTCTACGGTAGAATGGAGTGTAGATGTGTCGGCCGAATTGCATCGTTACGCTCGATACCAAGCCTATCTCATTTCCGGCGCAAAAAGAAACTGACATTTTCCCGTCATAGCGGGACGGCCGTCAACCAAGAGCGGATGTCACCCGAGTTTTAATTGGCGTACGTCGAGAAGGGAACGTTGTCGCCGACAATGTTTGTCTCTTAATGATTTGTGCTCGTTATCCAACCTGTTGCAAACAGCGCAAATAAAAATCTTGTATTTTAGAAATAAATAAATTAGTTGTAATAATTGCAACGCGAAAAGCGCTTTAGAGTGAGAAGTTTGTAATAATCTTTTAACTAGTAGAGAGATATACTTTGTCGCGATATACGTATAGTTTATTTTCGATTTTTATAGTTCTTGCACATTTCGTTTTCCATAATAAAAAAAAAAAACTTAACAAAAAAACTTTAAAAAAAATTAAAAAATTAAAAGAGAAAAAAATCTCTATATATAACCTCATTTAAATTACTATAAAACGTAAACTAAGAACGATAGCATTATACTCGTGTTGTGAGAAAGTTGCTAAAAAATCCCACTACACAATGCCACAAGGCAGATGGTCCCACGTCATCATAATCGGGCGTTTTGTTTAAAGTTCGGTTTCTTTATGGACAGCCTTTGTACAATCTATATATATTGTATATATGTACAGTCGTCTTTCTGTTCTATACTTTCGAAGGAGAAACTATTCCATTCGAGATCCGAAACAGAGATCGATTTTGGGAATAAATTGGTGGGCATCTCCTCGCGTGAGAAAGATTATTCAACATTCGACATAGTCGAATTCGCCAGAAATAGAAGCCGACGACTGCCGTAAATTTAAATCGGCGATCATTATCGAGAGTGCCTCGCGCGCGAATACGGGCTATATTTACGGAAAATCCATATGTTAATAAAGACAATCCGGTTTGAAAATAGTTAATGATCTCTCTATCATATAGTGTGTAACTGTACAGTGCGTTCTCAACTTAATAGCCTCTATCGATTTAAGATCGCTTCAGATCGGAATATATTTAATTCTTTGCGCAATTTCGCCGCGATATTGATATTCATTCGTTTTTACGCAAGTATGAATATAAATTTCATATTTATTTATATTTAATTATACTTAAAAAATATTATACGTTTATTGCATATTTATTATTGTGTTTTTCTCTAGCATAATATAAATAAAAATTAATTAAATTCTCGCAGCAATTCTTGAATACATGTTGTATAACAAATAAAACTTGTCACATCGAGTAAATAAAAGAAATTTTGTAAAATTTATCGTAAAATTAATAAAATTTAATAAAAATATTTTATTATACATTCTTGAGATGGTCAGTGACAATTAATCTTAAAAGCATGCTCAAACATATAATGAGTGTCTCCGCTACGATACACATCGTGTGCAAGCCGCTTAAACAAACTTCGTCCAAGCTAGAACCGACAGCGTCGTCCACTTACCTCATTAAGCCACCCTTGGATCTGGAAGGGACCGCGAAGACCGCACAGGGACGAGCGAGGTAGTCTCGTAAGATAGATTGAAAGTACCCGGAGGACGTGGCGGCCGGTCTATCCTGGTGATACCCTGCGCTCACGGTAGATAGTAATTAACTTGCGCGAAGCTTTTGTCAGCGACCGTCGGTCGAATTACTGATGCAAAACTTGCGACCTCTCGGCACCTCGTCTATTTTACAAAGGCCGCGCAATTAGTGCCGGCCTTTCTCGTTCTTCTCCCTGTGATCAAGCGTACCGCTGGCAGCTGCCGCTGCGATGCACTCGCAGAGAAAAGTGATTAAACCCATAGCTACCGCGAAACAGAATATTGCGGGGATTTTCGTGAAATGACTTTGCCAATAAGAGTGCTTCGCTGGGGATGAGATAAATGATAACGCTATTAATTCCTCTCTCGTAATAATAATCAATTTATTTTATTTGTCTTAAAATATCAAAATATCAATTATATCGATCAATTTAAATGTGCTTTAAATTTAGAAATCATTGTCTAGATGTAAAATTGTTTAATTTAGAATTTTATTTGCTCCAAAAAATACATATAGCATAAATTTAGATATATGTACAAGAAATACTATACAAATTCATAGAGACATATTTATGCACTAGTCAGATAATATATTTCGCGTTTGACATTTGCTTTAAAAAAAAAAAAAAGAAAAAACGACGAGTTCAATAATTAGTAGAAAATTTCACGCTAGTTCGACAGATATCCGAATATATATGTATTCTCTCTCGAAGACATTTTCAGATACTTTCGCAGTTTCTTCCTAATTATGGATTGTTAGGAATGAGTTAGCGCGCTCACCGTGTCTGGAAACGACATAACAAAGTGAACAAAAGGAACGCCATCACTTCCATTTCAATGAGAAGTTAAACTTACGGAACGGAAGTTCTTCATGCACCAAATGAAAGACAAGGGGAACAAGGCTAAACCCCAACTTCCATAGAAAGTTTTTCGGGAAGCTGCGCAATCTGGAGCTTGCAAGGAATAGTAACAAAAGAGAAAGAAACGGAGAAAAATCCGAAAAGAGACACATATATAAAGTTCTGGTATCATAAAAGATTATCTAAGATGAAAGTGAAATTAAGTGATATCTCATAAATTCTCTTCTGCAGCTCTGTCTCGACATTATATTTTCATAAGCTGAAAGTAATGTGCGGCATGGCACAATGTCTTTCAATTTTTATTATAGATTTCAAGTATAATCTTGACATAGAATAAATATATGAATATCTCAAATGGATAAATCAATTTCTTTTTATAAAATTGTAAAAAATGCTAATCATTTATCAAATAAATATAATAAAATTATTGAGTAACGCTGACAAATTATATGATATATTAAAATTGTAATATAATATATTATAAAATATTATATTAATATTTTTTATATTATAAAATGTGTACAATTTTAAAATTTAATTTTAATTATATTATTTATTTTTTATTGTCTTCTTTTTTACTACTCTCTCTCTCTCTCTCTCTCTCTCTCTCTCTCTCTCTCTCTCTCTTCTCTCTCTCTCTCTCTCTCTCTCTCTCTCTCTCTCTCTCTCTCTCTCTCTCTCTCTCTCTCTCTCTCTCTCTCTCTCTCTCTCTCTCTCTCTCTCTCTCTCTCTCTCTCTCTCTCTCTCTCTCTCTCTCTCTCTCTCTCTCTCTCTCTCTCTCTCTCTCTCTCTCTCTCTCTCTCTCTCTCTCTCTCTCTCTCTCTCTCTCTCTCTCTCTCTCTCTCTCTCTCTCTCTCTCTCTCTCTCTCTCTCTCTCTCTCTCTCTCTCTCTCTCTCTCTGTCTTTTTTTTTTTTCCTCTCTCTCTCTCTCTCTCTCTCTCTCTCTCTCTCTCTCTCTCTCTCTCTCTTTAAAACTGAACATTTAAATATATTTGGTTCTGCATCTTCTATTCTATCTTACAGCAGGAGCGGTCGTATCATAATACTTATCATAATACATAATATTTGTCTCTAGAAACGAATATATATTATATATGGTCAGAAAGCAACAACTCAAAATACATATTATCTTATAGGGTCCGGTGGTATATCGTGTGAAGAGAAACAGATTATCCTGGACGAACACAATCGATTGAGGCAACTAGTGGCACTGGGACAGATACATGGTCAACCTGGCGCAGCGAATATGATGGAGATGGTAAGTGTGTGTGTCAACGCGTTTCATCTTATTTCTTAGAGAATCGCCGTTTTCAACAACAATATACAAATAGAATTTTTTCAAAGCAAATTCTATTTAAATTTTTTTAACAAAAAACTATGTTTTTATATACTATTTCTTGAAAAACTTAGTTTGGCAGAATCCTTTTGTCAAATTTCAACTATAAGAACCTATAGTCAAAAATAGGTATTCTCATTTATAAAACTCAAGATAATAATTATCTTGAAACAAAGAATTAAAAAAAATGAATACCGCCATCTTATATGTTTCCCTTCAACTTCTATAAAAACTTCTGTCAGGAAAACTTTTTTCTGAAATCAAAAACAAAGTTAAAAGAAATAGGCATAATAAATTGAATAATAAAATCGCTTAATAAACAAATCAGAAAAACAAATTTGTCTGAATTAAAAGCAAGTAATTTGCTTGCTCCTATTTATCGCATCCAATATAAAAACAAAAGATTTGCACTAAACTTCATTTTAGCAGCATGATGAAAATATTCTCTTATCTCACAGCGTATTTATATTTGTAAAAAAGCACTCTCACGCGATGCATACTAATTTACACGATAAGCCACATGACGGATTAACCAAAGTTGAAGTGAGTTTTAACGCAGCTCTGTAATATTCCGTGGACGTATCGCGCTGTACGATTAATTCGACGTGTAAGTTACTAATTGCTGTTATAGATATGGGATGACGAACTTGCTGCGATAGCACAAAGATGGGCGGATCGTTGCACCGAGTCACATGACAGTCTAAGAAATGTCCGTAAGTAAAATTTTATTAGCGGTTATATTGCATGTTTGCGCAAACTGACATGATAATACTTTTAATGTATATATCATAAAAATAATATGAGACAAAATATCTTTATGCCTAAAAAATAGCATATTATAATAGCGTCCATACATGCTAGAATAGCAGCATTATAATAAAACTCTATATATATATATATAAAGATATGAAAAGCTACGACCAACTGCTATTCCTTCCTCTTACCAAAATAAAAAAATATATGTGCTATTTAGGAACTTCCGATTTCCGCAAGTTGAAAAATTGCGCGTACGTTACATAGAGAAGATATTTTATTTTTATTTTTAAGAGAGCCGAGTTTATATATATTCACTTAGTTCGCCATCGCCCTGAGAGATAAGAATATCGAATTCCGCTTAGTAGCAGAATTAGGTGTTTTTTTTTTTGTGAGCTTTTAAATCGATATAGTTTGAATTTTTAAGCTCTATCTCTTTAAAGCAAAGCAGCACATTTTGAATTATTCTAAAGAAAAGTTTAAAATAAATTGAAGACTCTTCCTATCCATACATTGCATATAATTTTTAAGAAAATGCATATTCTGATTTTGGCATTGCAGAAAAAATACCCTTATTCTTTTTTTTGGCACAAGAAAGAACTATATTTAAAGGTGCTATAAATCTCTATCATTTCTTGACTATATTTCTTTTGCTTTACAAAAAATACATTATAAAAATTCTAAATTTATTGCGTTTTAACTATAGTTTCTTGTGTGCTGAAGCATGATATTTCTGCGCAAAGTTTTAGCTAAAAAATTACAATGCATGTATTTTTTTTTTTTTTATAAATAGTCTGAATAAGCATTTCCTCTTTTTTCCATTCTGAAAAGAAAGATTAAGATTCTTACTTTTTCTAGGCGAAAAGCTAAAAATTTTTGAGTTGCGGGATTCGTAAATTTATAAATAGCACTTAATTCTAAGATAATTGTTTTTTTTATGCCATCACAAAGAGTGGAAAATCAGATAAACAAAAATAAAACTCTAACAAATGTCAACACAATTAAACAAAATTACATTAAAATTATTATGATTATAATTCAACCGATTAAAATGCAAACAATATTTAAAAATTAAACATTTAAATTTCAAGTGGAAATGTCACGTAGTAATCGTAATAATAACCATGCAAATTATAACAACATTTATATTGCAGGTAGTCATAGCATTACAAATCGTATTACGTTAATTTTATTGAGTGTTTCATAATTCATATAGTCTCACAAACAGTCGCTGCTTGATTAAGCTTTTAAAGTATCCTTAAGCTCCCGATTTTTTTTTTATCTTCCATTATTCTACATATTAAATATTGCAATTTTTTTCCTAAGAAGTACTCTCCCCCCCAAAAAAAGTCTACCATAGCGTACGTATTTTATACATTAGCATTAACGCGTGAACTTCTTTTATTTAAACGAATCGCGACGATATGAAATATCGAATTACTGTTGGAAAGGTTACCGTACAATTATTAAAAGAAAAATTAAACTGTTCAACGGTAATCAATATATCGAAACAGACACATAACAAAGCTTAACGCTAGCGACCTGATATTATTAAGATCTTTTGCTTCTTTGATGTACAAGTATACATTAATTCAGAAAAACGACAAAGAAATGTGCTTTTCTATAAAATATAAAAATGCATATAAATTAACGGCATCTTCAAAATTTATGTAAAATTTTTAATAAATCTTGTAACAAACAAAATTGATAAAAATAGTTTTTTTTTCAGTAAAAGTATACAAATATTCTGTACTAAGTTGATAAAAAAAAATAAAAACTATCATTTATAATATGTTTCATTTTAGCTTCGCTTCTGTATATCGTTGGCAAAACGTGACGTTTCGCCAAAAGTTTAATGTACTCTTTGTCCTTTGTGATTGATCAAAGCAATTGATTCGCAGGTAGATTCGCAGTAGGACAGAATATCGCTCGCTCATGGACGACTAGGCCCCCGGGACCTTACGACGGTGAGCCGAATTGGAGACGACAAATTTCTGGCTGGTTCAACGAGGTACAATACTATCACTCCGGTTATAGCAAAACGACCGGACACTACACGCAGGTAATAGTAGTCAGCAAAATCGGAAAAAGATAAAAGCGTTAGAAAATTATGTAATTACGATAAAAACGATATATAAGGAAGATCTCTATTCGAAAGAGAAGATGGATTTTATTGGCACCGTAAAACTTCTTATTACTTCATATTCGATATGAAAACGACTAGACTAGGCTATCGTAATCAAGTTATTCAATATCATAACGACATGTGTTATGTTGATAAAATAAAAAACCTTGCCGAAAAAAACTTGTGTTTTAGTAGAAATATATATTTATCATTTAATCAGAATAATCTTTCAATCAGAATAATTTTTTAATTCTTAATAAATATTTTTCGCTAATTGATTATTATAACGGAATAATATTTGCAAATTTAATAAGACTATTTTCGGCAAATAATGTTACTCTTAACGAGTTTATTTACTACTCACATAATAATTGACAAGATTTGCGATGACAGGATAAAATATAATGTGAATTCTTTTTTTCTTAAGATAATCGAGCCGTATAAAAACATTAAAAATTGATTTTATTCGTAGGTCAGTTTCAAAATAAGTCTAAAAAAATCCGCGATTTATAGACCCGATCGCTCTCCGAACCGTAGTTAATTCTTATTTTATGAACTTGTGCTGTTGTTTTATGAATTTTCATGAGATCGCCATTTGCGAAAGAACTTTTTAACGACGAGTTTATCTTCCGGAAAAAAAGTTCGTTTTATTAATCGTATTATTTATCATATTATCGAAAACGCATGTGCGTAGAAGATACTCAAATTTAATTTAATTTACTTCATTAAAAAACTAAACAAAATTAAATTAAACATAACATTTTGTTATATATTTGCATACTATAAAATCTAAATTTCTAAACAGCATTTTACTTTCAATCGATTATATCTTAAAAGCTGTTGAGATACCTCCACCATTTTATCAAAGAAAATTAAACTCTTTAAATGAGCTGAGGAAAATGTAATCAAAATCCTTGATTTTACAATTAAACGCCTCTTCTGTCCCGCGAGACAGCGTATTCGAAGTAATCGAAGCATAAATTGTTCCGCTCGCGGACTCTTTTCATGTTCACATGCGCGAGCAATTCACACACACAGATCTTTAAGAAGCAGAAAACATTCTGAATTAATTCCAGTTGGTGTGGAGCGACACTTTCCTGCTGGGATGCGGATATTCGTTTTACTACGACCCCGCTCGCGGGTACACCAAGAATTACGTATGCAACTACGGGCCGAGGTGAGAATCCTATTTCGAAATATAACTAACTTCTTCTTTATTTCGTTTCTTTTATATTAGAATATGGAAATTGTGTCAAGACGTATTATACACACACACACACACAGCACTAGATTTTTATTAAAGGAAATACTTCTTCAAGAGACTCTTTATATAATTTCAGAACGATATCCTTTATAATGTATCGAAAAAATAACTCTGCATTTTTCACAAATAACTAATTTTATATATTGGAAAAAGTTTCAACGGAGAAAGACGTGTAATATGAGGAGAAAGAAAGAAGAAAAAGAAAAGAAATTTGTAACAGCAATCTTTTCAAATTATGCAAAATAATATATTTTTGAATCCACGGGAAAGTACAACGGGGGCGAATAATAATATTCAGATTTTTTATTTCTAAGACTTTGTATTAATTTTGAGTATAATTAATAATTTTAATTCCGTAAATTTTTCTACAAATTTAATACAAGCCGTATTTTTAATTGCACGACATGTAATTGCTAATTTTTTTCAGTAACTTCTCACATTTATCTCGTCATTAAATCTAAATTATATTGCAAATATCAAATCTTTTTGAAAGCTGACACGGAGAAATCGTTTTCTCGATGTATATAAAGAATCGTACGATAAAAAAAAAATTATCGTCTTGCTTTGTTTCGTTTCAGCGGGAACGTACTCGGTTATCAACCTTATCAATCGGGTCAACCTGCATGCGGCAATTACGGAATGTCCTACAGCAACAGATACGCCGGATTGTGTTGTTAGTATCATAATTAGCATTACTATCTTTTTGAACTTTTTATCGTATTTTTTTAAATTTATTAAATACAATACAATTTCACCTCTAATCTCTTCTATAAAATCGATGATTTTCTATAAAATCTCAATTTCTCTCTGTGAAAATGTGAAATTATATTTATTCTTTTTGCTATTAAATGCTAAAGTATATTTTTCACAGATTTCCAGATTTGAATACGTGTAATCAACGAAATTTTCTTATTATCTTTGTTTAAAAATAGACTCACAATCAGTTTAGTATCCAGAATAATATTTTCTCATGGAATAAGTGTGAAAGAAAGAATATTATACTGAAATCTCTTTTTTCTTATTTCATTCAAATTTTTTTATTTTACGCTCATTTTTTTGGAAATAAATATGCACATATATGTTAATACACACTATGTGATTACAGCTCGTGGAAGTTATTATCACCTCGGAGCTCTATGTGTATATGGATAGTATTATATATGGATATTTATGAAGAATATCAATCAACAATGGCGAATTGTTTTCGCTAATAGAGCAATCAGTTGCATTACGTAAATTGTAATTAGTAAGTTTTGTCGATTAAGAAACAGCTGATTCGCGTGTTGTCAATTTATATAAACGACAATAAGGCGAATTATGCTTATTACCATGTAAATATGTGTCTACGAGATTGTAATATTGAATTAGTCAAATGCAGTCAAGGCCGCCGAGAGAGCAAATTCAAGTGAAGAAATTTCTCTGGTTTCTCTTTCTCTCAATCCGCCGCGAGCTGACTGGAAATCCTTATACGCAAAATATGTATTCATGATGGAAAAAAAACGCTACAAGCAAATGCAAATATGAATAATGACAAAAAAAAGTTTTTTCTTAAAAAAAAAAACGAATTCTTTGATAATCCAATTCTTTAATGTCCAAAGCAAATTATACAATATCAAAAAAATTATTCACTGCTCAAATTCAAAGCAAATAATCAAAAAAAAAATAACTAATCGTTGTATGAAATATAATTGAATATCAAGCTGGTTCTAAATTTCAGTAATTTGTGTTATCTTTCTCGCTTCTCGTTAATCTTGTGTATTAAGAAAATTATATAACGTATTCGCGGAAGTACGCACTAGAAGCACGCTTAAATTATTAAATCAAATAAGTATTTATAATTTAGCTGCTTTACTTTCATTAAAGAATACGTATCGAGAAGATATGTTTCGTCTATGATAAAAGTTAGAAAAGTCGAAAATCTCTTTCTCTTTCTCGATCTGTTGATTTTAGATCAATTTATCTAGTCTCTATTTATAGCCCATAGAAATTAGTAAAATTAAGATAAGATAAGATAATAGATAAACTAAAAAATTTAAATCTTTTTATTAGAATATATGTTATATTATAAATATGCGTAATATTATTTCGTATCAGAATATAATATAGACTAGACAATTTTTGTGCAGGTAAAAAAACATACTTATAAATTATCTAAATATTTAAATATATATGTAATACATCAAAAATGATTATTTTTGCTGCAGTTATTGTACATAAATTTTATGGCATGTAAGATTTTTACAGATTCTTCCTATTCTTTTACAAAATAAAATAATGGAATTAATTAATTGTTTAAGAGATAACTTACATTTTTTAAATATTACAGAAAAACTTGATCATTATGTATTAGTGTCTCAAAAGTCATTAATATATTCCTGATTGTATATACATAATGGCAAAAATAAAAAACATAATAAAATTGAATTTTTCACTCGTTTTCCACTATATACAAATCTTGTTTCAAATTTAAAAAAAATAAATAAACTTGTTTTCAAGAGTTTTAATCAATTCAAGCGTTTTATACAGGTACATACACAAATAAAATTATCTTGTGCCCTATGTATTTCACAGTCCCTCATATATGCTTACAAATTTAATTATAAAGATTGCTTGAACATTAAAAATTACATATATGTAGACAACAATCAATATTCATGGACGCGTCATCAGAATTATTTTATTCAATTATAATTTTAATTAAAAAAGGAAATGTTAAAATATTCTCTCTCTTCTTGATGCTTCTGTTTATAATGTAAAATAATAAATATTTATTATATTGCCATGTTCTCTGAAGATTATCGATTTATTTATATCGTCTTTATTTGTACAGTTCTCATTGAGACCTATGAATGCATATGTAGGTTTTCTCATCTTTAATTTCAGAGCTTATTATTTGTGTAAAATTAATGTTATAAATTTTTACATTATATAAATAAAAAGAAAAACTAATAATTTTTTCTATTAAAAATTGTTTTTATTTTAATTATACTCATTACAATTATTATATATTTTTATACTTATAATTATTTTAAAGTACTATTATATAATCTAAAAAATTACTATGCAATCAATAATCGAAATATTTCTGAGAAAATAATTGAAGATTTCTTATATAATCCTTTTTTTAAATTAATTAATCAAAAAATATAATGCATCACAATCGAGACACACACACACACACACACACACACATATATATATACATTTTAATGTGTATAGTACATGCGCCGACATCATTGCATATATGTATTCTACGAAATGTGATAAAGCATCAATCTTGAATGCTGTTAACTGCAGACGATAAAAATGCAATACAGATATTACGCTCGATAAATCGCTTGAAAATCGATTGCTACTATAAGATCATTTACTGTTCCATTTATAAAAATTAACGAGCGCTGGAGCCTTTTAGTTTTATAATTTTATAAATAGGTTGTTAACGCGTTACACTTTATTTAATGTTATTCAGTTTTCGGTGAAATATACGAAATCGCTATATCATACATTTGAGCTATATGCAATAAGAAATGAAAACTTAAAACTTTGATCGGAGACATTTTTTGTACAATGTCAATTTTAGAGGATATACAGCTATTTCCATTAAAATTGAATACTCTGTGTGTATAACTTTAGTTATATTTATTATTTTACATTATTATTATTTCATATTGTAATCAAAATTATATAACAGAACTTTTTTTTCTATGAAGAATACACTTTTTAAGAATTCTACAGCAAAATATTTAGAGTTATTAATACTCTATCAATGCCATTATAAATTACAAATGCAAGACATGACGAGGCGTCGAACATGAAAGCAATCGCCCATAAAAGATTTAAAAAAAAAATGTAAAATCAATTTTTCGCTCAATAAATCGCCAGAGTATTGTTTGCTGTGAGAGCACTAGCAAACTAGCGACACTCGAGATAAAAAACCCTCCAGTTAAACGTTAGCAGCGACAATAATCTGAAAAAGACATTATTGATTTATCGCACAGATTTTACTTCAAAACTCAACAACAGTGCTGAAAATCGCTTACAGTGTGTTTACTTGTGCTAACAATAAGTGTTCTGAAGAAGCCAAAAATTGCTGTTTTTATTGTGAAGATAATTGATCCATTCATAAGCACACACACACACACACACACACACACATATATATAAATACTTTAATTACATCTTGGAGCAAAATAATTCTTTGTTGAGGCACTTAATTTTGTTGAGAAAAGAAAACATATAAAAATAATTTATATTTTTTATACACACACACACACATGTATATATAGGAGATGTATCAAAAATAGGTGATCAAACTTAAGAGCATATTGTACTCACTGTCATGATGAAAAAAGATCATATAAACATGTGTGGATCTGGAAACGCTTTTTTTGAATTATAAATATAATATAAATTTTTTGTTTAGGATGCTACAAATATATACATACATGTATATAGGAGGTTTGAAGCAATTATGTGAATTGGACAGATTTAAATATTTGATACAATTTTGTTTCGTTAGTTTTATTATTTCAAGGATACACGCGAATCCAAGATGCCACGATATGAAAATACTAGGTAAATATAACACACGAGAGGATTATATATACTATGTATATCTACATACAGGAGGCATCATACACGAGATATCTATTAAAATAAGATTGAAACACATAATTCGATAATAGACAAGCGTTATCATTGATCCGAACATTTTCGAATTATATTCCAGAAAACGAGGATATGACGTGCGACATCATACGTGATATTCTCGATACTCATAACAGACTACGACAGTCCATCGCCGAGGGATCAATTAATGCTCAACCACCTGCCGCCAATATGCATGAACTGGTGCGCGATAAATTATAATTTATCTTGTCCATAAAAAAATTGCTAAACATGATAATATTTAAAAAATATTTTATAGATTATATATAAAAACTTTATTTGAATATATATTTAAAAATTATTTTATGATTAAACTTTTTTTTTTGGAGAAAGGATATGTCTGTCTCCTCGAGACGGAAAAATAAATTTAATCTCAAACATTTTTTCTAATTATCAATAGTTTCAAAGACAATCGTATATAAGTCTTTCTACAAATAAATACTGCTCAAATTTCTGATTAATTGTACAAATATCCTTCAATATATAATAATATAGATAAATATCCTTGAGAAAATTTAATTTTAAATATTTTCGAACTTTTTATATACTATCTAAATTTCTAAAACTTCTTTTTGTAGAATAATTCAATAACTACAAAATTTGTGCTTTAAGCATATCTTAATAGAAAATTAATACAAATTTTAATCAAATATACATTAGGAACACATGTAAGGAATTTTATATATGTATAAATATATATAAAATCCGTAGTTTCTAAAATATGCATAATCGCGTAAAAATTTTAAAATAGAACATTCTGTATATCAATAATCCATTTATATAATGCAAAACGATCATAAATATTGATTAGATTATGCACATTTGCAGTATTGGGACTCCGAGCTTGCATCCGGTGCTCAGAATTGGGCAAATCAATGCATATTTGCTCATAATGATGAGAAAGACAGGAAAATTGGTACGTACAGTCTGATATCATAAGTAAATAAGTTAAAATTAAAGTAAAAGAATAAAAAGTGAAATAGTAAAAAATAAATTAATTAAAAAATTAATAGGCTATCCTGTATTCAAAAATACTTAATATGGAAAAAATGTGTATATAGTTGCGAAATGATTGGGTGCTTTAATATTTCCATTGAAAATAAATCAATTTCGGTCTTATAAAATTTTTTCTGTGAGAAGCGAATTTTCTATTATGTATTAGGATAGAGTTACATAAGGACCTCATCTTTCAGAAATAGAAACAATTTTATTCCGTCATCTAGATTTTTGCTATATACAGCAAATATATGCAAACGTATTTACTAACACATATTATATCTTTTAAGATATAGGTCTTTGTCATTATATGTAAAATAATTCCTCAAATGAATAGCACATATTAAATGTATTTATAACTTAATAAAATTATCTATAAAATATTTTTTAGAGCGATTCCCAGTCGGTCAAAATATTGGCTTAAAGAAAATGCGAAGAAGTCAGAATATTGCAAAAATAGAATTTTCTAAGCAAATAAACAAATGGTTCAGCGAGCACGAGGTCTACCAATTTAGCGCTATTGACACAAAGATTATAGAAGTAGCTGGTCATTACACACAGGTATATCCACTATTAAAAAATTAATAAAAAATCAAAATAAAATACTACAAACTCAAAACTCGTAATTAAAAAATTTTGTGATAAAATAATAATACTTATATTAAAAAGAAAGATATTGTTTCTATTATATTATATCTTATATTATTTTATTTTATGACAACAAAAGACATATTTTTCTCATATTGCTAGAATAATCGATATTCAATCAAATATTTCACACAAGTAAGGTGTATCAAATATTACTAAACTTGACATAAATTGAACAAATTCTGAAATAATTGTAATGATATATCAAGACTTTTCTTTTATTATTTCTATTTTTTTGGGCAACAGCTTGCTTGGGCAAATACTTATCTGGTCGGATGCGGATATTCACAATATAAAACGTCGAATAATACCGCTTACCAATTTTATGTCTGCCATTATGGACCCACGTAAGTCATATAAAAATAATATTTCAAAAATTAGATAACAAATAAATAAGCAAGAGAATTAAAAACATTACTGCGTGGATAAAAAGAAAATTGATACATCGCTTTGCCTTTTCATAATATTATACGAGTATATATTATGACATTATCCCTGTTTTTTGTTAACATATCCCTTGCAAACAATGTTTTTTGTGCATGTATGTACTTGGATATGTTCTTATATCGATATATATGTTTTGAATTTATATTAAAATATACAGAAAGTGAATTACGCGCAATTTGAATAGACCATATTTCTTATATTTAAGAGGAAAAAAAAAAAGATAAAGAAGAAAAATAAAAGACTTAACATTACTCACATAATATAACTTTCTTTCGCAATAAGCAAAGTACAATATATATATATATATAAATATATATATATATATATATATATATATGATGAAGCAATGATTAATTACTATATTTTCTTTCGTGCAATGACGATCGTTATTTCAAACTAATCATATAATATACATTTTCTTTTTAATAATCAAAGGGGCAACGAGTTTGGTAAGCTACCTTACATCGTTGGAAACCGTAGCTGCGATCATTCTTTGAAAATTTCGGATAAATACCCTAATCTTTGCAGTACGTTTTAATTTGTTAATATAATAAAAAAATATTCTTATAAGAATGTAATTTGTATTTAAAATACTGTTATTTTTTATAGCTTTACATTTATTAATATATAATGTATTAATATTTCAACAATAAATATATGTTTGTGTGTGTAGCATAATTAAAATTAGAATTAAAATTATTGATATGTATATAAAAATAAATAACAATATATAATTCAACAGGTTTCAAGAACGTACCAGCAAGTTGCCCCAAAAACAACGTTGAAGAAATTCGTAATGACAAGAGATCCACATCTGTCAGAAATGGTCGTAAATTTTTTAACGTGCACCATAACATACATAAAGATAACAGTCCTATGTACCAGAGAAAAAATCAATTTGTTCGCGCAAAATGCGCAGATCTATCATGGATATTCTATTATATAATATTGTAATAAGATTTTAATGTTTACATAATTTTCATTATAATAGCATACTAATTTGTGTCTAATATATTCTTCTGTTTAATAATAATATTGCAAATATACTAGCAAAAGTAAATATTTTAAACTTGCTAGCGTCAAGCAGTTTTAAATAATAACGGCTATAGCGATGTTTCTGGGAGACTCCTTCTCATGTCTGTTTAAACGCTTTTCCAACAATTTCATTATATTTTGCTAATATGATAATGAAGAAACTTTAATGTGCTAAATAT